ATATATATATATATACACATACATACATACACACACACACACAACTTCACAGTTCGTTTTTGGCAGATTCACTATAATGAAGTTTTTCAAAATAAGATTGGACATGACATAGCTGGCGGATGGATGGATTGTTTATTTTAAATTAATTAAATTATTTTGTACCGCGTGTGCAGCCCACAAGTGCAGGGGAAGCTCCCTCCTGCAGCTGATCAGCTGATCTTCTCTGCCACACACACACAGTCCTCCTGCATCGGCTTCGTGAAGGGTTAACCTTTTGCTGTCCCGATGAACCAATCGACTTTTGTCTTCCAACTTAAAACTCAAAGTATGTCACATCATAAAATTGTCATAAAAAATACAAACTTTGTTCCAAATTAACAAGTTATCATTAAATTTGGAAAAAAACAAAATACAGGATATTTAGTAATACAAGAAAAATTATTGAAGTCCCATTTAAAACTGACAGTACTGAAATTCATAGTTAATTAAATACATTTTTTGGTGTTGTTATTGATGAGGACATGGAAATATCATGTAAATTAATAATAAAAATAGCTAAATCAATTGCATTACTGTATAAAGTAAAAGAGTTTTTGAAAGACAAAGCTTTGTATGTATTGTATAACGTAATGATTGTTCCATATTTAATATATTGTACGAAAGTTTGGGGAAAGGCATGTAAAACAATTACAAATCCTATTTTTATTTTACAATAAAGACCTATAAGAATTATTAGTAGGAAGTGCTCTGGTCACAAACAAATTTATTATTTCATCAATTGAAATTATTTAAATTTTATGATTTGGTTGAATATAATATTTTACAAGTCATGTATAAAGCTCATAAAAAAATCACCCCCAAATATTCAATTAATTTTTTTTTTAAACAAAGTCATTATAAGCTTAAGGGATTGTAAATGTTTGTAAAACCTCCATTTAGAACTGGTGTGAAGGAGCTGCGCTGTAGTTCAGGGAACAGGACTGTGGAATTGTCTTGATATCGCCATAAACATTTCTAAAACAATTTATACGTTTCAAAAGATGATCAAGTTGAAATTGTTAGGAAAGTATGATACCGTGTGAAGAATGTCTGATGTTTGATGTTTTTGCTTTGGGGATTGTTCAAGCCTCAGTTGATGTTTGTAGTTATTTTATTTTTTTAATAAAAGGGCAGATAAGATTTTTTTTTCTTCTTTCTGCAAACTTTATATTATTTTTCATTTTGATGAATTTGTTTTTTTTCTTTTAAATTAATGAATAAACAAATAAATTACAGTCTGGCACATGTCATGACAAAGTTTACTGAACTTGAACTACTGTATCTCTACTTCACTTATCGCGGGTGGGCGTGGTCCCAAACAGCGATAAACGAGGGACCACTGTATATATATAAATGTATTTACTTGAGGAGGTCACAACTATTAAGGGGTTTTAAAGCCAAAATTCCTTTTTTAAATATAAATATTTACCTTAAAGTACTACATTTACTGGTAGTTTAAATTATATTTGTGTAGTTAAGTTTTTTGTGCCACAAAATTAAGTCCCAAATAACCATTTATGACCACCACCAAGGAACTATTCTGTAATGTATCAAACTTTGAAGTAGTCGACATGATAAGACACCCTGTATATTTGATGCGATATATTCAGGTTCATTCACTATAATTAGTGAACGCAGAGGTAGACGTAAAGAAAATGTCCAGTGGAGAACTGCTTGACATAATCTGTAAGCCAACATTTCTGGTTACCTCAACTTTTACAGTAAAGATGACAAAATAATCTTAAAGGCTCGAGTCGTCCTCCTCATCGTTATCAGACTTTTCAACAGAGGAACTCAGCGTATTTAAGACCGAGATAAATAAAAGAAAAACACAAACAAAAATACAACTTCCCTCCAAACACATTTCCAGACCATGTAGGAACACACCTGTGCAACAATCATGCAGTCTGATCAGCATCTTATGCCACACCTGTGAGGTGGACGGACAGACTATCTGGCTCACCAACAGATTTAAACTATTATAAACACTTTTTGAGAAAGAAGCATTTTGTGTACATTAAAAAAAATCTTAATCTTTGAGTTCAGCTCATGAAAAATGGGAGCAAAAACAAAAGTGTTGCATTTTTTTTTCAGTGCAGATTCTCATTTTATGAATAAAATGTCTAAAATTAAACACCAGTCATGCACAATCACTGGTGTGGTCCATTTTTTACTGGTTATACTGTGTTTAGATGAATAAAAACTTCAACCGTCTCACCTTTAAAATGGATATTTTGAGCATCTCCTTGGTTGGCAGATCCACACCACAGTTCAGGCACTAAAACAAATAAACACACCCAGTTAAAGTTAAACTAATGTTTAAAGTGAAAGTTTAAATTACTTTCTGAACTCATTAAACCACAGCTGCCGCTTCACGCTGTTAGCTAACAAGCTAACGTTAGCTCAAGGCGGCATCTCTCCAATCACTCAATTTTACTAATTCTCTGAATATTAAACGGCGCAGCTCGATGAAGCGCATTTACAGCACTTTATGTTCAATAAAAAATCACTTCCTACAAGCCCGGAGTGACTTTATTGTGAACTAAAGTCATACCTTTTCCAGAGCTCTGGATCTGCGGCGGAGCGATCCGCGGGTCGAGGGAAAAGGGGCGGAGCTTGCGAGGGCGCGGAGGAGCAGGGCGGATCGATCCGAATAACGATATCCACATTTGGATCGATAATTTATTATATTGTATCAATACACAATTAAATCATCTCATATATAAATCTTATTATAGACAATATGTAATCCTTCTATGCTGAAATTATAAATAAAATATTTCTGTGTAGAACTGAATACCATTCCATACTATACCATAAAGCACTTAAAAACAGCAACAAGGCCAAAAAAAAAAGTGCTGTACAGCAAAAACAACAAAGGACACAAGATAAAATATATAGATCTAAATGGGTAAGAACTAAATTAATATTACAGAATACTGACAAGTTAAAATCAGCTCACACTGGATCAAAACCCAGGGATTAAAAGTGAGTTTTCAAATGAGACTTAAAAACAGTGAGAGAGGGAGCCTGCTGGACATGCAGTGATACTCGTTCCACAGTTGGACCTGCAACAGAGAAGGCCCTGTCACCTCTGAGCTTAAAACAAGTGCCTGGAACCAATAGAAGCATCTGATCTGACCTCAAAGTTCGCTGTGGGACATATGGCTCAATGAGATAGGAGGGAGCAGAACTGTTCAGAGATTTAAAAACAAGGATGTTGGATGGATGACAAATAGAAATAAAGAAATAATTCAATAAGGAATTGTAGTTACTGGACTCAGCCTTCCTCTCCACTGCACCCACTCACCTCTTCGTCTGGACATCCTTCATCCCTGCACAGAACCACTGACCATAAACCTTTATTTTACTAGGAAATAAATCCATTTAGATTGGAATTACCTTCACCCAGCCCTGGTCCTCCTTCACAGGTCCTCAGATACTGACCATCTTCAGCACAATAAACTTTTTTTTTTTAATCTTTGTCTCAGCGTGAGTCTTTTCAGTGCTTTCTGGGTTCTGGTTAAACTTAAAACAAGCCTAAACTGACACAGACTATCCCGAGGAGGCAGCACACCGTAGTCCTGCATGTGAGTTATAAATGTTTCTACCCTTAATGAATACAAAACTGTTACAGCAATGATTTTATCTCAAAGGCCCTTGTCTGTTTATCATGAGCCAAAATGAACCGTCGACAAGAAAGGTGCAAGTAGTCTCAGGAAGAACTTATCAGGTAAATTATGATGTGTGTGATTAGGTCGTGTTTCACAACGAGAGACACTGCGTCATTTCCAAAACACTTGTTGAACGTATGAAACGTCAACTTTTATTTCAACACAAAGTCTGAAAAGACAAACCCACAGTCAGACCTGGTGATCTGTCATTTGGCAAGTAGACTTTTCTTTTGAAATTTCAAGTTTTTATAAGTTTCAGGGACGCAAGTTTGGGTCAAATTTAGGAATTGAGTAGTTTTTTTGGGGTCTGATTACTTCCAGGGGTGCAGAAGTTAGAGAAGGTGAGTTTATGATCGGTTCAAATCCTTGACCGACAGCAAAAATGTGATTGGGAATGGTGGAGCACCCACACCTGCCTCCACCCTTGTTTGCCCCACCCTGGGCCTTTGGATGGCAGCCCTCTGCTTCACAAAGAGGTTCGTGGTAGCTCGTTGGTTTATGGTTACATCAGTTATCTTAAAATTGACACAGATGGCTAAAACAGCACAAAGTGTGTGGGAATAAAGACATCCCAGCGTTTCAGACATTAAACTTTTGTTGCACTGTCAGAGTTCACAGCAGAGATGGTGGCAGAAATCATCGGTCTGGAGTGGAGGAGGTCAAACAGGACAGGGTCAGGGTGTGCACGAGTCAGTCATAGAGAGCACATGGACTAAAGGAAACAACAGAAAGGACCTTCTTTTAGAAATCCAGCACAGGTAATTCAGGTTACACAGGGGCAGTAAAGATTCTCAGTTCTGTTGGGTGCCATGCCACGAGGAGGTGGAAGGAAATGAAACAGCAGACAAACTTGCTAAAAGAGCCTCGAAGGGAGAAATAACAAAGCATATTCCATTTGGGAAAGGGTAAATCAATAATCAAAGGAAAAGAAACAGAAATTTAGCAAAAAAAGATGGGATGAAGTTAAGAAAGGAAGCATTATATATAACACAAAACTCAGTATTAATAAAGAATTATGGAGAAAGAAGCAGAAGGGAAGATGTAATAATGATGAGATTGAAGAAAGGTCATTTACAAAAATGACTTTCTGTGCACAGTATAATACGGAAACGAAATAATAAAAATTGTGAGGGTTGTGGAGGAAAAGAAAGAGGAGCATGTGATGAAAAGTACGCAACTGAAAGAGAGGATGAGGGGAAACTTAAGAGAGGCAGAGAGAGAAAGGAGTTTAAAAAGAATATTGGGAACAGAGGACAAGGAGGAAATCAGTAGCATAAGAAAAGTGTTTTTATTATTTTAGAAAACACAGAATACTGTGGATGTTGTGAAGTTACACTCATGTACAGTAGGTGGCGGTATGCACCTTTAACTTGTTTGAGTTGTCCGCCATTAAAAGAAAGAAGATAGGAAAGCAAAAAGAAGAACAAGACCTCCTGTTTTGCCCATAGACACAAATATAAGTATATTCATATATGATATCTGAGTATATTTGTGTTTTTGCCAACCACCAATAAACTCCACGAAGAAGAAAGGCGACAGTTACGTCACGTGCTTCCTCTCCTTCATGGCGACCTTACGACATTTCCGGCTGACTCCGGAGCTTTGAAATATTGTGCGCAGGAAGACCGTCGTTGGTCTCACAGCGGTAAAATATTTAAACTTGGTTCATTTTCTGTTCAGTTGATATGTGGGCATTGTTCTGACTGTTCAACGCCGGTGTCCGCGGCGGCTAGCTGCTAGCATACAGTGAACTCTGAAAGCTTTACGGACATGACGAGTGACCATCAGCGCTTAGAAGCGTTGCGCTTTGTAGGCGGGGCTTCACGGTGCGTTCACGTACGCCTTGTAAATTATCAGCACTAATAGCCTGTACTGTACTGTACTGTATGTTTGTATGTATGTATGAATTTATGATTGTATGTATGTTTGTTTGTTTGTTTATTTGTTTTATTCATTTAATCCAAACAACAAATACAATACAATTTAAAGAAAAGAAAAAAGATATACAATCACAGAAATAAAATGAAAGGCAGCAGAAGAAGAATGAGTTCATTGTCATTCACTGTAATTCATTAATAGAGGCAGAGTTATGATTCTTAACATGAAGTAGACTAAAATTAAAGGTTTTATATTTGTTGAAAGAACTGTCAAATTTTCATCAAAAAGTCACTTTTGTACTGTCAATTTATCGAAGTGCTACAACAAAAAAATTCAAAATGTTATTCATTCAACCTTTATTTAAACAGGTTAATCCCATTGAGCCTCGAGGACTCATTTACAAGAGAGACCTGATTTCAACAAAGAAAGATGACAACAATGGACAGTTATAAAAAGTCATACAGATTTATTTATTATTATTGTTTTATATAAATAAGATGGCAAAAAAGTAACAAAAACAGCTGGATTCTAAGGTGAATGTAGAAAACTAAAAACAGGAACATGTCTGCATTGGTCCCTGCCAGGAGTCCAACAGATTCTTAAAGCCACTTAGAGAGGTCAAAGGTCGAGAGCTTCAGATCTTTTTACAAGATATTCCAGGAAACAGGAGCGGAGTAGGAGAAGGTCCTTTTGTCTAGTTCAGTCCTCATTGAGGGAACACTGCAGGTAATGATGTCCTGAGAGCGCACGCTGTAGCTGCACTCACACAGAGACATGTAGGAGGAGATGTATGAAGGCAGCGGACCAAACAAAATTCCCTTCAGTCTTGTTTAAAAGCTTCCTCACAACATCTGAAATCATTTACAAGTGATTCTTGTGGTATTTTGGTTTAAAGAATGCATAAAGGTCTTCACTGTGTCCTTTACAGGGAACATTTACAAAAAATGTAAAAATAAATAAATTGTTGTCAAGTTTCACTGCAGTCTTGTAACAGCGTAACTGTGATTATTTTCAAGTGGTTTTGATGTGGTGTTTTGGTGACATTTAGTTATCAAGATCTTCACTGTGTTCTAAACGGAACATTTTAGAAAATTGTTTAAATAAAGATATGTATTGTTATCGACAAGTTTCACTGCAGTCTTGTTTTAACTGCTCAGATAATTCATACGGTTGAATTTTGAGTCTTAAATCCTGCAACTTCTGTTAAATTAGCTGTCATCCTGTACAACGAGCATCAGGCTGCTAACGACAACAGAGAATAAATAACATGCGTCTTAACGTGACTCTGATGATCTCATTCCTAATATTATCCGTCCTTGTCACTCTTAAGGAGAACCTCATCATCTTCAGCTCTATTATCTGATTTTTCTGAATCAGCCCTCTCCTCTCATGAGTCACTAAAGTTTAATCTAGCATTGAATAATGTCGTGATTGTGTTTCAGCTTCTTTCTTCTATTATCCGTCCAGTTCCCTGACGGCTCAGAAGATGACGGCAGGGCGACGGTACCTGCGAGCGTTCGTCAGTGGATTCTTCGTTGCTGTTCCCGTCACAGTGGCCGTTCTCGACAGGTTGGCTTACGTGGCTCGAGTAGAGGGAGTGTCGATGCAGGTGAGACCGGGCGACACGTCGACCTGCTTTAAAGAGAAGACGTGTTTTGAGGGCGACGTGAGAGGAAGCAGCAGTTTCTGGACGTGTAACTGTAGAGGTCCAGCTTTCTTTCATTGGTTTTTTGTTCTATTTGAGCAAAACTGCTGGATTTTTATTTTTTACTGTTTTTGTATTATTTGTGTTACTTTTAATGAGCATGTTTGTTATTTATCCTAATTTCTTGTTTTTGTGGTATTTTGACCTTGCAGTTCACTTGTGTATGTTTTAAATCTTGTACAGCACTTTGGTTAGCGATGGTTATCTTGTAAAGTGCGCTATAGAAATAAACTTTGAGTGCTTGATGAATTTGCCCTAACGTTTAAATGTGTGCTTACGAACAGCCATTCCTGAACCCAGGAGGAGGATCAGAGTGTGACGTGGTCCTGTTGAACCGTTGGAGTGTGAGGAACTACCAGGTCCAACGAGGCGACATCGTCTCTGTTGTGTGAGTAAACATGATAAAATGTGTTAATAGTTATGGAAAAAATTATTCAACCTTTTTGATTTTGTTCTTGGATGGGCAGACGGGCGGTTAAAATTAGTAGGAATATTAATGGTAACAACAACACGGTCCACTGGAAACATTAAACTGTACTAATTTAGGATGTAGGGGTGCACCAGGGTCCCATCCTGTAGCAAAGCCTGGGGGGGGTCTGGTCAGGGAGATCCTGGTGACAGAGCCTGTGGATCCCAGTCAAGCTCAGCCCAAGTGAGTCACATGGGTTCACAGTCCTGTGTGTCCACCACTAGGCCTGTCACGATAACTAATTTTGCTGGGCGATTAATTGTCTCAGAAATTATTGCGATAAACGATAATATTGTTTTAAATTTGATAATAATTAGTAATTATTGTCAAATTTAAGAAGAAATGTTGTTAATTAGTTTTGGGTGTAGTACCTTTTTTCTACCACCGGATGGCAGTATAAGATCGCTTGAACTGAAGGATGGATAGTGAGGGAGCGAGCAGCGTGTCTCTTTTGACATGGGCTGTCTCTCTTTCCTTTTTTCGGTTCTCAAAATGGCGGACGCTCGGTGTGGTTTGAGCTCTTTAGCATTTGTCACACAAAGCTTTTAATAAAAAAATCAGTAAACAAGTTCTCAGCTTCTTTTTTCAGAGAAAAACAACTTTTTAGATGAAGGCACGGGTTTCAACCGTGACTTTTGGATCTTCGACAAGACGGAGGTTTTTTTCCCCGAGGTCAGCCTGTTAGCTTAGCTCGTAGCTTAGCTGCTTTTAACGATCCAAAAACGCAATTTTGGACGGTTAAAACGGATTTCAAAGAGAAAAGGAGGGGTCAGTTAAGAACACTGGAGTTAAACCTTTTGTCATCCAGTGTCTTCAGTAGAAAGAGTGACACGAAGAAGCACGGTTAAAAACGTGTGGACTGCCCTCTCCATGTTGGTAGTCATGTCCGACCTTAAATGGGGGAGTGTCTGAGCTGAGCTGCGAGGCGAAGCTCTCTGTTCACCAGTTGGTCGATGTGCCTACCCTCACCTATGGTCACAGTCTGGGTAGTGACCAAAAGAACAAAACTGTGGAGGCATCCTCTCCAGATTACAACATGGTAAGGACTAAAACAGCCATGGTTGTGGTCACATCAAGCTAGCATGATGTAATCTTCAAACTGAGCTGCATCCTGATGTGGTTGAAGACACTTATGCCTAAGTGGGTATATGATGGGGGGTGTCTCAGGGATGCAGCAGAAGCAACCCGTTCACCATTTTGATTATGATCCAGCTATGTTGTGAGTGGTATAGAGCATAGTGGGTCGCTATCCACTTTATAATTTATAATTTACCACCGCCCATTCCACAGATCTGCTTCAATCTTATTGGTGATCTGAATTTTTCAAAGTCCGATCCAAATCCCTTTCATAATTTGAAATCCTCTAGAGTTCTAAATCCTCCCAACTTTATTTTTTCTTTGTTGTAAAAAGTATAAAAGAATTTCAAAACAATAGATTTCAATTCCACCATAGACTTGGTCTTCATGATGCCTGATTGCAATCAGTTTTAGTCATTAATGTTGGCTTTTTTGTTTTGGTGTGAGTGTGCGTATGTTCATCATTGTGTTTGAGGGGGGTCTTCTGCTTGCAGGCTTCTTAATATGTTTGTTTATTTTGTATTTATTCACTTAGGTCCCCCAGAAATCCAAAGCAGAAGATCATAAAGCGCGTCATTGGCCTGGAAGGAGATTTCATCAGGTTGGAACATGGACTCATTCTCTTTGCAGTGATTAGTTCAAGAACAATAAACTGTACTCGCACGTCACTAGTTTTAATGAACATATTAGAATAACTAATCTCAGTTCAGTAAGAACAAAAACAGGCTGCTCACTGGATGCCTAAAGCGAAAAGTAGGAATTGTGAATACCCTACATTTATCCAGCCGTCTGTAAATGTGAGCGCGATGACTTGAAAAATAAGTGAGGTATCGACTTCCATTTTGGTGTGTGGCTACATATAGGTAGGTGTAAGAAAGGTTCCTTTAGAAGACTGGACTGCCACTTTCAAATTCAAGATGGCCACCACCACATACATGTAAACTGGCCACCTCTACCATTTGCTGAAATTATGCTTTCTAGTTTTTGTATTGCTTAAAAGTATAGTTTCCTCAAATGATTGGGGTGGCCCAGGATTCATCTATGGTGGCCAAGGCCACCATTGGCCACCCCCTGGCTCCACCATTGCACCTGGTGGTGGAGGAAATTGCTCCCCCCACTCTCCAGGATCCATCACTCTGCGCCGCCACGGACAAGAAGAAAAAAACCTACCCCGTTCCTATACACACTCCTATCCACCAAAAACATTAAGGTTTGCTTCATTCCCCATTCAGTTCCAGTCCAGAAAAACACTTGTGTCAAAAACTACAAACACTTATTATTCAAATCCCCCAGTGACGGGGGCATCAGCGTACCGCTCGTTAAACCACAGCTTGTTAGGGTTACAACCATATACAGTATTCTTTTGTTAGGTTTAGAACTACAACTGATCTTAGGTGTAAAACACACCTGGATCCTGGAAACATCTGGATCAACGACACGAGAAGTTGGTTGATTATGATCCGGTGGTGGGACCCCAGCCTTGTTACAGGATCAATCTTTGGAAGGTTTTTTATTGTAATATACTAACTGCAGACTTAAATTAAAAATGTTTTTCTGCCTCACAAAGCTTTGGCACCAACGGAATATTTCACCCAAAAGCTCAAATGTTCCGTAAGAAGTCGTTCATCTGATTATTCATTCAAAATGTTTTCTCCCTTGAACAGAGAAATGTAGTTTGGTTGGCAGTAAAAGGATACGCAGGACCTTTGAAACTTTGTTCCAACGTCGCTAAATTCACCAATTAATGGAATAAATGAAATAAATGTTTGACAGCAAATCGTTAATTTTTTTATTTATGACTTAACGTTACTTGTACAGGACTTTGGGCTACAAGAACCGATACGTTCAAATCCCTGACGGCCATTTCTGGATTGAGGGCGATCATCATGGACACAGCCTGGACAGCAACAGCTTTGGACCGGTACGACCCAGTAAAGATACGCAACCTCCAGACCTTTAGCAGTACATTAAGAATTTAAAATGAGGTTTGCAGGTATTGTCTCCTGTCGACACAATATAAGGAACATCGAATATATATATATATATATATATATATATATATATATATATATATGTATATAAAGTCATTTTAAATCCTTCTCAGACTCTTGCAATATTCTAAACAATGTTTCTAAACTCTAAATTCTCTAAAAGAGCACAAAATGTTATGATTTCAGCGCCTTGCCTCTTCTGCACTTTGCCAACTTAAGCGCTCTTGGCCACACCCACTTCTCCGCTCTGCACGCTGATCAGCTGATCAGCTGCAGCAGGAAGTTTATCCTGCAGCAGTAAGGGCTGCACAAAGCTGCAGGAGGTGCAAAATAATTTATTTTAAATAAAAATTCCATGCCGATTGTGTGTCGTGTCCACTCTTATTTTGAAAAACCGCGATGGAGCGAGTCCGTGATGAGCGAAGTAGCGAGGGACTACTCTAATGGCATAATGATAACTTGATGAAGATGCTGTATGATAACAAAATGATACCTTTTTTGTGTGTTTTATTTTAATTTTTTTTAATCAAAGTTGCTGATTTATGACTGCAATAAACATGAAAACATCTGAGGGACTGAATCCTTTTATAGACTTGGTCCTCGGTGTCTAACTGTTGGTCAGAGATGTTTTAAAGTCTGTTCTTTTTTAACTTTGTGTTTAGGTGTCCGTGGGGCTCCTGCATGGTCGGGCCTCGCACATCATCTGGCCCCCCAGTCGTTGGCAGCAGATCAAACCGGCCCTGCCTCCGAACAGAGGACCGCTGGACACGGAGGAAGAACAAGAATGAACTAAAATAGAACTCTAGTTTTTTATATACACTTTTTCTTAGATGCATTATTTATCCCGTCTTTATTGTAATTTATATTTCTTTTGACATAAATGTGAACCCTACGTGTGGGTTGTGTTCATTCATTTTGGCTGCGGCAGAAGCCTGACAGAAAACAACGGCACAGACGTTTGTTCTAACTCGTCCACTGGTCCACTGCTGCAGCGTTATCAAAACCAGTTTAACCATTTATTCCATTTAATTCAGCAAGAAAGTCCTCGTAGATTTTGCCATTTTTCTTTTGTTGTTGTTTCCAAACATTGTGAGTTTGAGGGACTGAAGGCTAATGCTCTTAGCTTGGTCATTGCTAAGTGGTGTTCCCCCTCTGAGGACCAGGGACAGGAAGTCATGTGAGATAAGATGCACATCTTTATATTTTCTTAACCAAACTCAATCAATTGCTGTTCATCGGTACCATACCATTTTATTTATAGGCACTTAAAGCAGGAACAGCCAAAGTGCTGTTCAGCAGAAAACAAGCGAAGGACACGGCAAACATAAAATAAAGTAAAAACAGGAATAGCAGAAGATAATAATGATACACAGTATTATACAGACAGATTCATACACATTGTTAAAAGCCAGGGAATAGTAGTGGGTTTTTAAGCAGGACTTGAAAACTGAGGGCGGGGGCCCGCCTGCCCAGCAGTGGTGAGTCGTTCCACAGTGTTGGGCCTGCGTCAGAGAAGGTCCTGTCACCTCTGAGCTTAAGACGGGTTCAGTAGTTCCATATGTGAGAGACTTTAAGCATCAGTGTCACGAGCACCTCTACCTACTTGTTCATGAGTGATGGCAGTAAGGAGCTGGACAAGGACTAACAGACTGGAGTCCCGTTTGCAGTAAAGAGGATGTTGCTCTGGTTTGTCAGGGTGAAACTGGAACTGAGCTCAAAAGTCGAGCTTCAGGAGGTCCATCCAACAAGAAAGCTCTCAGCTCAAGAGAACTGTGGCAGCAGCATGTTGAATCACCTGAAGACTTTTTTATTTGTTTTGTTTTTTTACACCTAGATAATAAAAAAATTACAATAATCCAGCCTCGTAAACAGGTTTGAGCTGTTTGAAGGGGCACCAAATGAAATTCATCGATCAATAACAGATTGAACTTTTGATTAGAATTCTTGATTTATTCACCCGGGCAGCACGGTGGCGCAACTGGTAGAGCTGCTGCCTCTCAGCGAGCAGGTCCCTGGTTCAAACCCCGGTCCAGGGGCCTTTCAGGGTGGAGTTTGCATGTTCTCTCCGTGCATGCGTGGGTTTTCTCCGGTTGCTCCAGTTTCCTCCCACTGACCAAAAACATGCATGTTAGACTGATTGGTAACTCTAAATTGTCTCTCGTGTGAGTGAGAGAGTGAATGGTTGGTTGTCTCGTTTGTCTCTGTGTGTCCCTGTGATGGACTGGAGACCTGTCCAGGGTGTCCCCCGCCCCTCGCACAGTGATTGCTGGACATGGGCACCGGCGACCCCCGTGACCCAAAATGGAATAAACGGGTAAAGATAATGGATGGATGGATTTATTCACCCTTCTTATTTGTCAGAAACGAACTGTTGGTTGAATCTGTTCATTACAGAAACACTTTGTTACTCTTATTACTAGAACTAGCCAGATAAGAAACTGTCCAGATGACCCGACTGAGAATTGGTACCTGGATGATTGAGCATGAACTTTGTTGCTTTGGACCACTTTGGCTGTGGCTGCCTGGGAGGAGTCGACGAGGGACAGGACGGGCCCCAGAAACCATCTTAGCTCCAGCAAACTGGTTCCATTTAAGGAGTTTACTGCTTGGTGGGGAAACAGTTTACTGGAACTCCTCTGACTGACGAAGCCCTCTGGATAGAGGGTGAAACGTCTCTATAAAAAAGAAACCGTGCAGATGACCCGACTGAGAATTATTGGATTCGGTGCCTGGATGACTGAGCACGAATTACTAGTAAAGTTGTCTTTTAAAAATGCATTTACAAAACAATATCAATCATAAAACAGATCTGTAAAATCATATTAACAATATTCTGAGTTTTGGCATCAAGTAATTACTTTGAATTAACTGAACCCAACTTCAGTTCTATTCAATAAAATAAAATGGTCTAAAAATAAATTAAATAGTCTATTTTAAATGAATTAAAAACAGTCTAAAAGTCTTTCCAAGGGTTCGCAGGGAGACGCTGCAGTTGTGCGCCTGTCCTGCAGGGGGCGACGAGCAGCAGCGACTTTAATGGTTCGGCCTGAAGCGTCGCGGCAGAAGAAGTTCAACAGGCTGGTCCATGTCGCTCGGGCTGAAGGTGTGTTGAAGGTTTGTTGTGAACATGTCTGTCGCAGTGAACGCTGACCCTCCTCACGGACACATCATCTGCAGTGAGAAGTGGAGGAGCTCTGCTCTCGTGCACGGCCTGAAAGGTAAATCTGAACCATCAGCTGAAGCAGAAACCTGGACCCACAGACTGTTGGTTTACGTTAAATACTTTTATGAGACAGACGTTAAAGAACTCAGCAGATCCAAAAAAAAAAAAAAAGTTCAATCTGGTCCTATGGACATTAAAAAAATTAATAAATAAAAAAAACAGTAGAAACGTTTCGTCTCTCATCCTGAGGACTTCTTCAGTCTGAGGTGCTGTATTCAGCTCAGTCTCTTAAATAGCACCTTCTCAGAGTGGATCAACCAGTTTGCTGCTGACAACCAGAACCAGCTGATCACATGCTCAAGAAGGACCATCAGCCTAACAAAGGATCATTAGCACCTGATGGCTGTTTACTGTTCACAGAGGGCTGAGTGATACTAGCAATCACAGCATTGTAAGAGGGGGACAGTTGAACACGGAGGCCTCTTTAAATCTTTAAAGTTCCTGACCTGTTCCTGCAGATGGAGGTGTGAGCATCCTGTTTGAAGATGGCTTTGGTTCGGCAGATTTTCACCTTCCCAACAGAACGACCGTCCTTTATGTGTCTGAGTGTGACATACTCGCTGGATATAATTACAAGAGGAAGCTGGTCTGTTACAGGAATGTAAGTGAGTCTTACATCAGTACAGTTGTGTGAAAGTTGTGCCAGTCCTCCTTTTTTTTTTTAGCTTTTCTCCTCATGTGTTTAAGGCCTGCAGCCATTTTCAG